CCCCCCCCACTTTTCTAACCCAAAATTAAGAAATCTAAGTGGGGCTTGGCAAGTGTAGGGGGAAAGGGATCAAAGCACTGAGGATCGCTTTGATCCCTGCTTTCCCCTCCACTTGTTTTTGTACTCTCCTCAGCTTCCATGTATAAGACGACCCTCAATTTTTAATTTAAAAATTTTAGACAAAAGTATAGTTTTATACACTGAAAAATATGGTAATTCCACTCTCCCCACCTTCCCCCCATAGTTTCAGGAGACAAACACCTTTAAGCACTGGGGTCGCTGGATTTGACCCAAGGATCTCTAGGTAACTATACCCACCACTCTTTCTCCTACATCATTCTACATCCTACCTTTTCCCATGACTCGCCCCATTTTTATAACGTAATTTCCTAAATGAAGGAATATCCTGACGGAAGAAGAAAACAGCTGGTAAATCAAAACAAGCAAACAAAAATGCAACATCATGCAGCATCCTCATTATGCAGAGTGGACTGATGAAAATCCACATTTCAGTGTTGGCTGCTTTATTTTACTCACAGGGAAACAGCAAGGCAATTTATCTCTTTCAACCCCCCACACCAGAAGTGCTCAGCTAAATTAAAAGGCAGTGCGGCATTAAAAATCTATATGTACGCATGAAAAACTGGAACACGGTGGAACAGAAAGCTTTGGTGCTAATGACCTTCAAGCTAGGGGATTCTGGGAGCTGTAGTCCAAGAAAGTAAGCTTTCCAAGCTCTGCATTTGCCCCAATCAGAAAGCCAACAAATTCTTTGCTCTGAATCACATGGCATTCAGCTTTTTCAGAATCTTGGCAGCAAGCCAATGTGGTTCCCTTTCGTTTGTTCATTATTCAATCCTACCCCAGGGGACTGTTATTCAGTAGTCACATACGCATGCAGATGTGTGTGCGTGCAAATACACAAGTGCACGCACACAAAATAGTCATTATGCAACATAATCTACAAAGAAAGTCCAAATCCAATTTACAACTGGGTTGGAGGGTGCCAGCATTAAGAGGGTCTTCCAAATGTGTGTGACTTTTTGGACTACAGGAGTTGACAAATAATCTTAGAATCAGAGAATAATGGACTTGAAAGAGGACTATAAGGATTTTTGCATCTAGTCCCCTGCTCAGTGCAGGAATCCTAGTCAA